TCACATGGTATAAAGAATTTGAGAGTTGGAAAGAAAAAAATTAACTACTTATTACCTTAGAGAAACAAGTAGGAATAATTTAGTGTATTAGATATCCTGAGAAATCATGTGAACACACAAAGAGAAAAGAGGGGAACTATATGACTAGAAGAAATAAAAAAATATGTGAGCCAGGGAATGGTAGTGAAATATCTCAGCAGATAAAAAGTGCTTACCATGCAAGCCTAATGACCTGAATTCAATCCCCAGAATCCACAACTTGCAAGAGTTGTCCTTTGACCTCCTCAGGTGTGGTCTGTGCATGGCTGTACTCACACCCATACTACTAATAAGAAACATTTAAATAATGCGTGTATATGGAGACATTACTCAGTGAGTAGACTGCTTACTGTGTAAGCATATTAGTCTGAGTTTGTGTCCCTAGCACCAATATAAAATATTAGGTGTGGCAGTGTGTATCTCTAACACTGATGAGGCAGAGACACACAGACTCCAAGGGCCTGCTTGGTCGGGCACTCTAGCCAAAATGGTGAACTCTGGGTTCAGTGCACACACACACACACACACACACACACACACACACACACACACCGTCTCCAATGATAAGGTAGAGAGAGTGACAGAAGACAACACCAAACACTAATCTCTGGCCTCTATACATATATGCACCAGTCAAACATAATGTGTATTTTAATTCTTTGCATCTAAGATTTCAGTGTGATTTGTTGTGTTAACCTCGCTTATTGGGGGCACATATTGAGTCTCCATTGTATATATGGAATTAGTTAAATGCAGCTGTCTCAGGAACTGATAATATTATAGTGACCCAGGGGATTTGGGGCTGGAATCTTTCCCTTTCTCTTATGCTAGTAACTGACATGGCTGGAAGTCCATCCAGCTCAGATGTCCATGTTCCTCAGTGCCAAGAGCCACATAGCTCACTTTCTTTCCCTGGCCTCTGTGCTTTCTGCCTGCCTGTTTGTAGTGGGATTATGAGTTTATGCCTGGACTTCATGGGCTTAGAACTTCAGCCACAAATGGTAGTGTCTCCTATTGCTGTGTTGTAGACCAGGGCCCGTTCTGTTTCTTATGAAATAAATACGAATTATTCGGTATCTACATTTTACATAATCGGCTCAAGTGCCTTTCTTAAAAAAATAATGCTGTCTCATGTTTTGACAGACTGCCTTTCTCTAATCTGAGTTTAAAGGGTTTATCATGAAATTGGCATGTGCATAGTATATACTTGAAGATGATTATGGGGCAAAAGCTTTGCCCGCCTTCAAATTACAAGCTTCTTCTTTCAATTAACTGTTTAAGTAAGGAAACTGTTGGTAGATGGACACCTTCAGAAAGGAAGGATGTCTGTTGGGATGAGTAGAGTTTTTGGTTTCTACTGTGGATTTTTTGAATTGAGTTTCAGGCTGTATAGTTTGCCGGAACATATCTGGCTGCCTTCATGTGGAAGTGTAATTTTAGTGTCTATAGACTCACAGCCTGACTTCATGGTGGATGCTGAGAACTTGGCTGCTAGTCTCACAGCTATTCCTTTCTAGGGGACCTATTTTACCTCTTAAATAACATGTCTTCTAGTTCTTCTAGAAAATTCTCAGACATTTTTTGAAGTGGTGGAGCATGGGGGGGCGTGTGTGTGTGTGTGTGTGTGTGTGTGTGTGTGTGTGTCTGTCTGTCTGTATGTCTGTCCGTCTGTCTGTCTGTCTGTGTGGCCAGTAGTCAGCCTTGGGTATCATTCTTTAGTAGTATTATGCTTTGTTTTTTGTTTTGTTTTGTTTTTGAGATAGTCTTTTTCTCTGTGACCTGGAGTTCCCAAGTAGTCAGCCTTCCTGACTAGTGAGCCCCAGAGATCCACTTATCTCTCCCTCCCCCAGAACGGGAATAACAAATACATGACACCGCACCCAGCTTTTAGGTAGATGCTGGGGCTCAAAATCAGGTCGCTGTGCACTCATGGCAAGCACTTTGCCAGCTAAGCAGTCTCCATGGCTTCCTTTTTCCTCTTGACAAACTACAGCTACTCCTGACGCATTGTCACTCTGCTGTTTGACTTTGAGCTCATTTTACATGTTTCCTTTCTCTTTTGTTTCTTGTGTTATATTCTGGACTATAACTTCATCGCATCTTTAATCCACTCTATCTTTAGATATTCTTATTTTGTTAGCTACTATGTTTATAATTTCAATAAAGTTAAAATGTGCTATTTTCTATTTCTCAACATTGTCTTCTCAAGTCTTGATTGGGCCTTCTTCATTACCCTTTTATTCTTGTCCAGGCATCCATTTTATTTCTTTAAAACATGAAACAATTCCTTCAGCCTGTTTTTCAACTAATTCTAGTGGCTTGTTCCTTGACCTTATGATTTGGTTACAGCTGTTTCTGGCCTCCAATTTGGGTGTCTGGTTATCCGAGGATGTCTTTTTTTTTATTAAATTATTAATATTTTCACATGTACTTTCCCTCTCCCCCTCCCTCCCCCCACCCCCATTCCTTCTCCCCCACCTCCAACCAACCCCCCACCCCATCCACCAAACCTTTGCTCTATGTCTAAAAATCCCAGGAGTGCAGGGGCCTCCCCATTGGCATCCATGATCAGGGGGCTGGATTAGATGTCTTATGTCCCATTTTTTTGCAGAAAATTTTCTTTGTAATTCTGAGAGGACTTGCACGTATTTCCTTTGTCCCCTTGGAGAACTACCCTACATTATCACTTTAAATTCAACTCTGTGCTTGGGGGTTTTCATTGTATATATAATGGGAACTGAAATCAGCAACCGTCAGTAAAGCGGAGATGTGGTTTAGAGTGTTCTAAAAAGAACTTGCCTTCACCCAGAATCAGAAACAAGGCAGGGTAAGGTCCTTCCTGTTCCCACTGGGGTAGCAGGATGAGATTTCATTGCTTTCTATGCTGGACAGAAAATTTGCACAGGGGTTTCCTATTAGATTCTTGTTTCATGTGGTCCTGGCTTTATTTTCTCAACACTGCCACCCCAGCAATCCCAGCAGCAAAGCAGAAGCTTAAGATTAGGAAGCACTTGCCATTCTTAGCATATAGAGGACCAGAAATTGAGTCCCAGTACCAATGTCAGGCCACTCATAACCACCTGTAATTCCAACTCGAGGGGATTTGATGCCCAATTCTGGCACCTGTGGGCACTTGTAATCTTTTTTAAACACACACACACACACACACACACACACACACACACACACACACACACACACCAAAAGGCAAAAAAGAGGTTGTCTCATTTTCTTTGGTCATATTCAGCAAAAAGTACCTTGATGCTGTGAAAATATTGGCTGGATAAGTTGTATAGAGTACCGTATGTTCAAGCAATTCTACTCTCAAATTAATGCTCAAAAGATTTGGAGGAAGACACTCAGCTATGTGTATGCCAAAATGTATAGCAGCTCGATTTAGTAGATGTGAGGTTTCCTTTTGGTTTTGTGGCCTGTTCTGGAACTAGACAAAGGTTAATAGCTGTGTATCATTGTGAATACACGTAATGCCATGAAATTAAACACTTTAAATGGCTTAAAAGATAAGGTCTATGTTGTATGTATTTACAATTTCCTGAACTTCTTGTTGAAAATCTTCAGACTTGGGGCATGGTAACCTGGGTTGAGTACTAACTATGTCTGCTTCTTGCTACCTTCTCAGTTACAGAAAGTGGATTTTCCTGATTTGGTGACAGTGAACAGTTACATTGGATGGCAGAGAAACTCGATTTAGGCAGGCATGGTTACCCTTCTGACATTATAACACCACATTTTCATGTAGAAAGTTTACACTTAAGAACCATGCAATTGAAACTTATTTTTAAACCTCGTTTTTGTATTGTTTGATAATTCCATACATGCATATAATTTGTTTTGATCAAATCCTCACTCACCTCCAATTACTGCCCTATCTCTCCCACTACTTTCCCCTCCCAACTTCATGTGCTTTTTAAAAAAATATCTCAGGCTTGAGAGATAGCTTAGCTGTTAAGAACACTGGTTACTCTTCCAGAGGACCCAGGTTCTTTTCCCAGCACCCACTTGGTAGCTCACAACCATCTATAACAGTCCCAGGGGTTCCAACTTCTGGATTCCATAGGCACTGTATACACATAGTACATCAGACAAAGCATCCATAAATATAAAACAAAATCTCATGTTTTGAGTAAGCCTACAATTTTGTGCTGAACCATATTCATAATTATCCTTGGCTACATGCAGCCTACAAACTTCAGGTTGAGCACACCTGGACGGAGTCTCATTAGGCTTCAATAAAGCTTCTCCTCACAAGTAACAAAGAATTTAGTCCGTACCTTGGTTCCAGAAACAAAGCAAATAGTTAAGTCCTGAGTAACTTCTCTTAAGTTGTACCTGTGAGTTTTAAATGGATCCCCAAATCCTAAGAAATGGAGTAGCAGTTTCTTATCCAGCAGTCTTATCCAGCTTCCAGGGTACCCTGACATTTGTGGCAAGTTACAACAGAAGCAGAGTTCATCATCAGCATATTTTTCTACATGGAGTGTGTGGTGTAGTCTCAGCTATGCCTGATGTCACAAGTATGGCCTAATCCTTTGCATTGTCTTAAGTGTGGCTGTTTGCTATATTCCTAAAATATGCTTTTTTTCAAATACAGATTTTATTTTTTGTAGTGCTGGAGATGGAAATTAGAGACTCGACCATGCTAGGAAACAGCCTATGACAGGATTTCTCAGTGAGGGACTGTCTGGAATTCACTAAATAGACTAGCATAACTGGCCAGTGAGACCCAGGATCTGCTTGTTTCTGCCTCCCAAATGGCTAAGATTACAAGCATATGTCATCCATCACTCCTGGATTTTTTAAACATGGATTCTAGGGATTGAACTCAGTGTCTTATTCTTCCAAGGCAAAAAATTTATAATTGAGCTATTTCCCTAGTCTAGAGCCCAGTAATAAATTCTTAGATGGACTGTGTTGGCATGTTCCTTTGTATCTTTCCACAGGGTTACATCAATTGCAGACAGGCTGAATGTGGAATTTGCTTTGATTCACAAAGAGAGAAAGAAAGCAAATGAAGTGGACCGGATGGTTCTGGTGGGCGATGTGAAGGACCGTGTGGCCATCCTGGTGGACGACATGGCTGACACATGTGGTACCATCTGCCATGCTGCAGATAAGTATGTGGGATGGTCCAGGAAAGACAAGAAAACATCTCCTTAAGAAAGAAATATATCCATATAAAATTTTGTTTTATTTGTATGTGTGTGTGTGTGTGTGTGTGCTTGCATGTGTGCTATGCTACAGTAGTGGAGGTCAGAAGGCAAATTTTGTGGGTCAGTTCTCCCTTTCTACTATGAATCACAGGGATCAAACTCAGCTTGTCAGGCTTGGTGGCAAGTGCATTTACCCATGGGACATTATTTGAAATTTAGCCTATGTTTCTTAATTATTGCTGATGACTTGGCAGTAGAATTTTAGGCCACGGACTCTCAAAATGAGACTCTAGGCTAGTAAGAAAAACAACCACCAATAACAATAATCCTTGGGCATTTCCATTTTCAAGGTTGGACTTTCCTGTCACTTTTTTCAAGGATGGATCAGAAAAGGTTCTTTCTGCCACACAAGATCCAGAAAAATGGGATTTTGTTTGTTTGCACCATTGCTTCTTTCAGCTCAACCTTTGGGCTAGCCTCAGCTCATGTGGCTTTCCAAAGGCTACAGAGCTATAGTTGGCAGAATAGGAGCCCCGCCTCCTTGCCACACATGACTGTGAAATACAATTTGAGATGCTTTCAGTCTCACTGGTAATGTTCTGGCTTGATTACATGCTTGGGAACTATTGGTTGAAATCAGTGGTTCTTAACACAGGCCAGTTTTTTCCCTAGACAGTGTTTGACAATATCTAAAGATATCATGGGTTGTCACAATTAAAGACATGGGAGTGTTGCTGCTGTGTGAACCAGGGATTCTACTGAACTTTCCTATGATGGACAAGATGGCCCGTATGACAAAAAATTATATAGATCCAAATGCCAGGGTTGATAATCTTTGATTTACTAGAACACAGAGCATTTTGCTAACCCATACATTTAAAAGGTCCTCATTTTGGCTAGTAAATACAAATGGATTTTGTCCCATTTTTTTTGTAAGGCACAATTTTCACTAATAATGTTTAGACAATGTAGAATATTTGAATATTTGTGAACATTTAATTTTTGAGACTGGACCTTGCTCCGTAGTTCTAGCTTGTTTTTGTTTTTAAGATTTTATTTATTTATTATGTATACAACATTGTGCCCCCATGTATATCTGCATACCAGAAGAGGGCACCAGATCTCATAACGGATGGTTGTGAGCCACCATGTGGTTGCTGGGAATTGAACTCAGGACCTCTGGAAGAGCAGTCAGTGCTTTTAACCTCACAGTCTTCCTGTCTTGGCCTCCCTAGTGCTAGGGTTACAGGTATGCAATGCCACTAGTAACTTTTTGTCTTCTATTTTGAAGGTTACTCTCAGCTGGTGCCACCAAAGTTTATGCTATCCTTACCCATGGGATCTTCTCTGGGCCAGCTATTTCCAGAATAAATAATGCTGCCTTTGAAGCTGTTGTTGTCACCAACACAATTCCACAAGAGGACAAAATGAAACACTGCTCCAAGATTCAGGTACTGTCCATACCCCAGGCAGAACCATGCATCAAGGCACCCACTTCAGACCCTTAAAATAGTATCCAAAGGCAGATGGTAATAGAGACTGAAGCTTCTCATCACAGTAGGCTATCAGTCATATTTGATCCCTGAGAAAGACCAGGATCAAGAAGTCAATGGTCACTATTTGGAAATAGCAAAGAAAAAGAAAGGAAGGAAAAGGAGGAGAGGGAAGGAGGCTGGGGATGTAATGCTGTTGGCAGAGTGCTTGCATAGCATGCATGAGTCTGGGGTTCCAGCCCCAGCACTAAATAAAGTAGTTAGTTTTGGTGGTACACACCTATAATCCCTGTACTCAAAGAGGTAGATGCAAGACAATCAAGCGCTCAAAGTCATCTTCAAATTCAAAGCAATTCTAGGAAGAATAAGACAGTATCTCAAAAAAGGATTTAAAAAAGAAACAGGAACTAATCTGTATATGGTACTTGGAAGGTAGAGGCAGGAGTATAGTGAGGAGACTACCCTGAGCTGCACATAGTCTTGTCTCACAAACAAACAAGAAGAAATGGCAAGTAGCACCCGTGAGATGGCTCAGTAGGTAGAAGGAGAGAAACAAAAGAAGTAGCAAATGAATAAAATCACAATATAAAACATTAAGAGCATTGGGGAAATAGCTTGGTGTAGCACTTGCCTAGCATACTCAACACTGAAAAACCAAATTAAACATAGAATTACTATGTAGCCCACTCCACTACTGTGTAATAGTCCCCTAACATGAAATGGGGGGTAGCAGGCTATACTAAGCATATTTGGGGGCCTGCTTCTTCATGTCCCTCCTGACTATATGCCCATAGGCTACCAGAGAGCTGATGGTAGTCACTTGACACCACTGCAGCTTCTGTTTTGAATTGATCTTTCAGTGGCTGCTGGCCAGTCACTGTGTTCTTAAGAGGCAGCGCTGGTTCCCTCATTAAGCATGAAGATGAGACACAGTGGTGTTTTCCATGATTTCTTTCCAAGTGAGAGAAAAAGAGGTCATTTGAACATAAGGAGATAAGTTTAAACATTGCCCAAATAGTGGTCCCTTATGTTTTTATGCATGATTAACAGTAGTGTAGTAACTGCCACCCAAAGGCCAAGTCTAGCCCACCTTTGTATTTTAAATAATGGTTTTTTTGACACATACTTACGTTTCATTCCTATGTTGCTCATGATTGCCTTTGCACCACAATGCATAATTGAGTGTTTGATACACTGAAGTTTTAACATTCTGATATTTTACAGGAAAATAGTGTGTTGACCCCAAGGTAAAATGATCATGGTTGTAGTTTTATCATGACAGAAACTCGTTGTTTTTAACAGTGCTTGGGGTCAGTGAGATGACTCACTAGTAAGCACTTACTGCACAAGTCTGGCGATCTGAGCTCCATTCCTGGAACCCACTTAAAGGTAGAAGGAGGAAACCTGATTCCACAAAGTTGTCTTCTGGCCTCCATATGCATGCCATGGCACATGTGTGCTTACCCACCTCTCTCTCTCTCTCTCTCTCTCTCTCTCTCTCTCACACACACACACACACACACACACACACACACACACACTAACAACAACAGTGACCACAATAAATAAAAGCATTTTAAAAATCGTATTGGGTTGGCATTCCAAATTGAAATGCAGCCAAGTAGAAAGATAGGTTGTATAGGATTTGTTTTATAATATTTTATGAAAAGCATTGCCATATTTTATAAATAGGTGCTTGGATTATAGTAAAAACTTAAGAAATAAAATGAAAGTTGTAACTTTAAAAAAGATTATAGTCACTATCTTTTCTAAATAGGCAAAAAGAAATCCCTGCCAATGAATAAAGAAAACTATTATTTAAACAACCAGTGGTCCAACAAGGGACCATCTGTAAGTAACAGCAGCCTTGAGTATTCATGTTGAAAATATTCCCAGGAACTGGGAGTAATCACCTCAGCTGGTCCCTGGAAATGAGACCAGGATCTATCCCTAGTGCATGACCTGGCTTTTTGGAGCCATTCCCTATTGTGGGATACATTGTTCAGGCTTGATGTAGGGAGAAGGGACTTGGTCCTGCCTCAACTGAATGTACCAGGCTTTGTTGACTTCCCATGGGAGGTCTTACCCTTTCTGAGAAGTGGATGGAGGAGGATTAGGGGAGGAAGGGGAAACTGTGGTTGGTATGTAAAGTGAATAAAAAATAAAATAAAATATATTTTAAAAAGCAAAACTACACAAACAACTGAAGATTTTCAGTATGGACACTCCCACAAAAATGGCTAGAGAAGGTGCGACCAAACATACCATATGCATGCTGTAGAAAACATTTGTTGGCTTTCTGGCTTTTAAAGAAATAGAACTCACTCCTGCCTTTTGTGTTTTCCTTTTGCTATTCAGGTGATTGACATTTCAATGATCCTGGCTGAGGCCATTCGAAGAACCCACAATGGGGAATCCGTGTCCTACTTGTTCAGCCACGTCCCACTGTAGTCTGGATGGGGATACTGAAGGTGGAGCAAGCCTCCTCCGACTTCTCACTGTCTTTGTCTGCCTGCTGTTTTAGTGTTAGGACTCAGCAATTCTAGGGTGATCACTGGCAAAAGCATCTGATCTGTGTACACTAAGATTCCTTGTCTCCTTTCTAAAGTTCAAGACTACTTCTTTTCAGTTTGGTGGGGGCATGGGGAGGTGGTGGTAATTTGGTCTTTAAGCGAACTGTTGTCAATGAAAACTAATCTTTCCCTAATTTTTTTTTTGGTACTTTGAGGCAGCAACTTTTAAGCCTAAAATCCCTTTGCAGAAATTTGTCGTATATGTATTTTGAGGTTGCCAAAAGTGACTTCAAATGAAAGCCTCCTGTGTACATATATAATGATAATGCCTGTGGACATTTGGGTAAAATCCTAAATGCCTTTCCTTTGGAGTGAACCCCAGAAAATTTACATCGTCATGCATTTTGATTTTTTGTTTCTTGGATATTTTTTAGGGAAAAATAATAACTGAGTTTATTATTGCCCTTAATTGGGACTGAATTTTATTGAGCCTAAGATGGTCAATGACATACTGACTTTCCTTAGTAGACATTAGACATATTGAAGACCGTATAAGGCTCTATCACTTTTAATTTCCACTTTGAGGATATGTCATAACTGTCAACTAACCTGACTACCAAATTGTTATCAGTGGTCACTGTGATTTGGATACCACTTGAGGATGTAGTCAGTAAGTTCATAGTCACATTGATGCACAACTTAGTTTATCCCAGAGGAATTTTCTTTAGGATGCATTTCAAGTCCTGTCAACTTATTCCCAGACTTCATCATTTTAGCACTAGCCTTTACTTTGCATTTGTTCCAATAATTTCTTGGTGTAGATGTCCACCAAAAAAAACCTTGAAATCCCTTCACATTTTTTAAGCTGATTATTATTTTGGATTTTTACATAAAGAAAATGGGGAAGTTTTAAGAGTACCACCAAATGTATTTATTTAGCTTGGATTAAATGTTCTTTGTCCCTTTGTAAGCAGAAGCAGTAAATCTCTAATGACTGATTATCATCTCTAAAGCTGTTAAGATGTAGATACAAGAGAGGCCTGCAAAACAATGGATGCAAAAGTAAATAGTTGTTCAATTAGGAGCATCTTCAAAAAATGGTTCAAAAAGCATCACGAAGGAGAATTTCATTGAGGGTAGCATTCTTGGTAAAACTGTGGAGAATTGTGCCTATAATCCCAGCGCTCAGAAAACTGAAGCAGGAAAATTACAAGTTTGAGGCCAGCCTAGGCTAAATAGTGAGTTCCAACTAACCCGGGCTAGAGTTGAGCCCATGTGTCATGAAACAAAAACTAACAAAAAGAAAAACCTCTGTAGCATCATTTGAAGAGGCAAAGGCTATCCATTGATGACTGATGATATGCATGTTGGTGGACAACCTATCAAATTTTTCTGACCCCAAAGAAGCAGATTTGCCTACTAAGTAAAGATTTGGAATGCTAAACAATCTCTCCCCCTTGCTGAATCTTAAAAACTGGTAAAAAAAAAATTCTTAGCCCTAATTTTTTTCAGGTAGAAAAATCCTATCCATACATGTAACACACTTGATGAGCACTCTAGAATATCAGATTTCAGTGCTGCAGAAGTCAAACCAATATCATTTATGTGATTTTGGAAACTGGCATTTTGAAAATGCCTTATTTGTAACTGTTCTGGAGAAAGGAGTCCCATCACCAGGGATGCTCATGCTGATACAAATTGTCTGCAAAGTCTTGGCAAGACATGTAAAAACCCTGTTTGACACTATGCAACAGTTATTTTTGTAACCTCTGTATTTCTGGGGGTTTGTGCCTGTGCTGAATGAAGACATCCTGTGCACATGCTCATGGAGAAAGCTTGATGTATGTGTGCACATATCTCAAAGTGTTGGCACGACAAACACCAGTTGGTAATCCTTTTATTAAAGCTTAAGAATGCCCAGGGTATCTTCCAGTCATGATCTTCAGATTTTAATCCCCTTATACAAATCTGCCTGGCTGTCCTCTGAACTGACCACTGATGGTTTCTGGTTTTACTTGGCCTGAGTTAATATTTTAAAGAACCTTCAAAATACGTTGATAAACTAATTAGACTGGACTGAGCCTTATACAATGGAAATACAGATTTTAAATATTTGGTGGTTTCAGTTTGGCCAAAATGACGTAGCCTGCTTCAGGTACAGTCTAAGCCCAGGACTTTCCTGTTCCTTGCTGCTTGTGGTAAGGAAATGTAAAGGGAAATCACCAAGAGATCACTCTGTCCAGCTCTATGAAAGGAGGGCCAAAAAGGGGGGGCAGGAAAACAGGAATATACCAAAGTTGTTTAGCCTCCAGCTAAAATTTTCTTAGTCAACTGGTAGATGTTCCTATGCTAACTTCCCTTTGTTATATACAATGTTGACTAAGTTCAGGAATATATTCTTTACAGTGCTTGCTCTGGTTTTAGAGACTAGAGAATTTTGAGATCCTGTGAAGTTTACTAAGACATTTCAATAAAATCCTGCTGACTACTTTTCTTCATAGTTCATATCATTGTTTTGGCGTAATTTGTTTTGTTTTGTTTTGTTTTTTGATGAAGTGCCCTGTTGATGAAGTGCTGATAATGTTTGTTACTCTATCCTTGAGACCCAGTTTACAAAACTAAAGGAAAGCCAGAAGTTCAAGTCACCATATTGAAGCCTTTGCCTCGTGAAGGGCTCAGTAGCTATCTTCTTTTCAAAAGGCATCATAGCTGCTCCACATAATGGTCATTCTAGATATTAACCTTTCAAATTAAATACCAAGATTGGTGAGATGATATGTGCCACCAAACGACCTGAGTTCAATCCCTGGGACCCACAGGGTAGAAAGAGAATTGTCCTCTGACCACCACATGCAAACTGAGGCATGGGGATGTCCACCCACACACACATATCCATAAATTGCTACAGTGTGTTATGCATCAGAGTAGTGAAATTCAGTATCCATCTATTGGAGCAGCCCAAACAAGTACAGGCTACATGGAAGTTGTTCATGTGCTTTGTTTCATGCCAGAAAGGCTTCCTGTCCCTTTAGAATACCCTGCCCCTTTCAGTGATGCTTTAATTATGCTTGTGGGGATAAAATAATTACATGTCTGTGGTGTGTGTGTGTGTGTGTGTGTGTGTGTGTGTGTGTGTATTGTGCACATTTGCTCATGCACATGTTCATGGGTGTGAACTCCAGAGGTTGGCATTGGGTATCTTCCTCAATTGTTTTCTGCCTCTTTTTTGTTTGTTTTGGGGTTTGGTTTGGTTTGGTTTTTTGAGACAGCATCTCTCACTGAATCTGGAATTTACTGTTTTAGTGGTACTAGCTAGCCAGTAAGCTCCAAGGATTTTAAATATCTCCATCTCCCCAGCACTGGTATTACAGGCAACTGCTGCCATGCCCAGCGTTTTTAAGAGGGACCTGGTGACACAAATGTAGGTCTTCATGGTTTTGAGCAGTAAGCACTTTAGAGACTTAGCTATTTCTCTAGCCCCATGACAAGATATATACACTATTATCTTCTTGTAGTGAAGCTTAGCTTTAAAGTATGAAAAATACTGCATGAGAGTGACAAGCAAAGGCCTTAAAATCACCCTGCAGCCAGGCATGGTGACACATACTTTAGTTCAGGCACTCAGGAGACAAAGGCTAGGCATATCTCTAAGAGTTTAGGGCCAGCTTGGTCTACATAGTAAGCTCCAGGCCAGCCAAAACTATATGGTGGGACTCTCTCTCTCTCTCTCTCTCTCTCTCTCTCTCTATATATATATATATATATATATATATATATATATATCATACAAATGATCAGTTTATATGAGAATTTTAAACATTAGAGCAGCCATTTTAAGTATGCCTTTCAAATGGGTGTAAGACAGGAAGAAGCAAGACAGTCATGAGCTTTGCAGGTGATCAGCCTAAAGGTAGAATACAACCTCCTTGCCTACTACTGTAGAAGAGTAAGTACATGTTCTTAAAAATGCCTGTCTGAGCCAAAGGCAGCACTGAGGCAATAACAACTAAATGCATTTGAGTATTACTCCAAAGTAGCCTACAGAAATGGCAGGTAGGAATGAATGCCTCATGGCCATGGAGACACTGCTCCACTGAGGCCTTATGAAGCTTGTTGGGCTCCAGCCCTCCGGCCACAGTCCCATCAGAAGTACAGTTGATAGTGGTGCCCAGTTGACTTCTGTGGCCAAAAGATAAACCAACTGAATTCATTTTATATTTTAAGAGCATGATAAAATGGGAAATGAGAGTGTCCCAAAATGGAAAGCAGTGGGAAGTGCCCTCAATTGGGAATGTAGCAATCTGGAGTCTGGTCCTGACACGCTATAAGCACATTATGACCTCACGACAAATGTCTGCACTTCTGAGAGACTTAAATGTCTCTGCAAAACTCATGTAAGAGAAGATGGTTACTGTACCGGGCTTTTTCTTTTAGGCCACCAACCAGCTCCCAAATCATGACATGAAGACTAACTAGTTTTGAATGTTCAGCCTTAGCTTTGCTCTTATTTTCACCTGTTTCTCTTTATCTACGTTTTGCCTCAGGGCTTTTTACTTTTCTTTCCTTCTGTATACCTTACTTTCCTGATATCTTCATGTCTGACTGTGGCTGCCTGGCTTCTGACCCCAGCCTTCTCTTTCTCCCTCATTCTCTTCTCCTTTCTTCTCTCTGTCTAGATTTCTCCTCTTATCTATTCTCTCTGCCCAGCAGCCCTGCCTAGCTACTGGCCATTCATCTCTTTATTAGACCAATCAGGTGCTTTAGGCAGGCAAGGTGAAACAAATGCAACACGTCTTTACATATTTAAACAAATGCAGCAAAAACAAATCCAACACATCTTTACATGGATAAAGTAATATTCCACAGCATAAACAAATCTAACACATCTTTGCCTAGTTAAAATAATATTCCACAACAGGTTTTCAGTGCCCCAGAAATTTTATCATTCTACATTTACCTGAAATTGTTGGACCGATTGTTGAGTGTGGTTCCAATGAGGGAATGATAAAAAGTTGCTTCTCCAGCTTCCTATATTGAGTGGCCAACTAACTCACTTTGGTTTGCCTGAGACTTTTTCTCAGTCTTAGAAGTTGAGGTCTGAGACAGGTGGTGATGTTGGTGCACACCTTTAATCCCTGCACTCGGGGTGCAGAGGTAGGTTGTTCTCTGTGAGTTTGAGGCCAGCCTGGTCTACAGAACAAGTTCCAGGATAGCCAGGGCTACAAGTAGAAACCCTATCTCAAAGGAGGAGGAGAAGTAGATGTCTGACATCTCTGGAAACTCTTCAGTCCTATGCAAACAGGGACAATTAGTGGTATTGTTCCCTGTCTTCTGAGGATGGAAGTTATGGGCTTCCAATCCTATTGTTCAGAGATAGGATTACATGCAGTTGATGCAGATAGAAGCTGGAGGGGATTCTAAACTTGCTAGAGGCATTCGTTAGAGGAGGGTATGCATACAGAGCACATGCAGATGAGGGAAGTAGACTGCCAAATGCACAGTGTTACAAGGAGTGTGTGTGTGCAGGACTCAAAGTGAAACAAAAGTCTGAAGATACCAAACTGTTTCCTATGTTTGCATGGCTCAGAAGTAGGCATTTGTGGTGGTTTGAGCGAGAATGGCCCCCATACACTTATATAATATTTGAATGTTTTGTCCCCAGTGGGTGGAACTGTTTGGGAAGGAAGAAAAGCTGTGGCCTTGTTGGAGAAGGTGTGTCACTGGGTGTGGGCTTGAGGTTTCAAAGAACCCAGTTAGCTTGTTCTCTCTCTGTGTCTCTGTGTCTCTGTGTCTCTGTCTCTGTCTCTCTCTCTCTCTCTCTCTCTCTCTCTCTCTCTCTCTCTCCCAAATCCCCTCCGGCTTCATGATGGTCATGGACTCATCTCTGGAACTGTACGCACCCATTAAATGTTTTCTTCTATAAGTGGCTTTGGTTATGATGTCTCTTCACAGCAATAAAATAGTAACTAAAACAGCATTCAGTAATCATATTTTAGTAAATTTGAGGATAAGAAATGTAATAAATGAGCAGTATTAGCAATGACTAAAAGAGTGATTTATACCCGAATGAATACTTGTTTTAGAACTTTTTCTTTATTAGAATATTTTATTTTTATATCATTTAATATTCTAAAAGAATGGACTGTGGTATGGTTCAGTTGGTAGGTACTTGCCTAACATACACAAAGCCCTGGGTTCAGTATCTATAACTTCACAATCATGTGCAATAAGAGTCGGGAAATGCTTGTAATCAGAGCACTTAGGAGGCTAATAAGGGGGTTAAGTTCAAGGTCATTTTGGTTACATAGTTAAGTTTGAGGTAAGCCTGGTCTACAAACCTTGTCTCAAAAAAAAATTCTAACAACACAATATTTATATCTGTAGTCTTCATCAAAACAAAAAATCTACATAGCAAGTTTCAGGACAGCCAGGGTTACACAGAAAGACCCCGTCTCCAAAAACAAAAATGAAAATAAAAAAGTTAAATTTTATGTGTATGTGTGAGTGCCTGCAAATACGTATACGCATCAGCTGCCTGGTGGCCTTAGAGGGCAGAAGAGTTCATCAGACCCTCTGGAACTGGAGTTATGAGCACTTTTGAGCTGCCTGATGGGGGTGCTAGAAACTACACCCAGGTCTTCAGCAAGTGCTCTTAACCACCAAGCAATCTGTCCAGTATTCTTTTGCTTTATTTGTGTTTTCTGAGAAAAGGTCTCACTATGTAGTCCAGGCTGGATGTGAACTAGTAAACTTCCTGGCTCTGCTTCCTGAGTACTGAGATTGCATGCATGCACTGAAATGCTCACCTGAGGCTTCATGATGTTTGCAGTCCAACATCCTTCAAAGAATCAGAAACAACGGATCTTGACCTCCTGATTCCTTTACAAGAGTATTGTAGAAATCCCAAGAGAAAGATTATTACCTTCATGTCTCCTAATTGACATGCTTCTCAGTATTCATGTCATCGTGAACTGCCTTTCCATGTTGAGTTTGGCCTTGGGCAACAAATAAAACACTAGCAAGAATGAGGCAAGCAAAGACTTAATATGTGCTGGTATACCAGATCTGGTTTCTCTTGAAATGCTTGCTGTTAAGATATAGCCACTATAAAAAGAAGTCCAACTTAATCACCTGGAAAAAATATAAGTGATCGCATAGCCCCAGAAGGCCTCTAATGCAAGCAGGCCCATCTGCATGCCCTTTGATCCCTTGGTGACCTGAGTGATTATAGATACAATGGAGTGTGGAAATAATTGTAGGGGGCAAAGATGGCTATAGATTGTCAGTATTCCTTTAAGACCCTTCTGCCTTCATGGTCTGAAGCAGACTGTAGGTTAGTGAAGAGGTGATAAGTCTAAATATTGCATAGTTAGAAGAAACTGAATATTATCTTTGCTTCCCAAACTCCTGCAGAGAGGCATTAGATAGAAGCAAACCCATCTGTTTGACAGCTTTATGGGAGAGGGTCTCCTGAAAGACCACAGATGTGACCAACTGAGAAGTTC